ACACGTGGATTGGAGACTTTTCCCATGTGATATCCTTAGTACAAGACTAGAAGTAGCACTAGAGATATTTTTTGCTTTGGGAAGATAAAAACAAGGCAGAAGGTGCAATTCAGCCCCCTACCTGCAATGTTGTGGGAGATCAGCCCCTCTACTTCATGTTGTCCGCAAAACAACCCTTTTAGTGAGAATGACGTCATTCCACCGTTAGACCCGTCCATTGCCCGTCAAAGCCTGATGAGTTGGCGCTGATTGGGAGCTGAGTGGGCGCTGATGTGGACCATTTTTGCTCCACCTGGGTTTACCAAGATGGCACTCCAATGCTTTTACTAAAGAACCCTTACCAAAACAATAAAATTGGGGATCTAGGGTTTGAATCTCACAATCTCACCTTCGATTGAACTTTCCTTCTACTAATTTTAATTCCTTCCGAACTTGCTTGATTTCTTTCCCTCCATTTTGATTGAGTTTAGGGTGGTTTGGGCATGTCATCTTCGTCAGGATCTACGGTGAGTTTTCTGCCAAACTTGGCGACATCATCGCTAGTCATCTGTTCGTCTTCCTCCTCTGCAATGTCATCACCGCTACTCTCCTCGCCAAGTCTGACAGATTGTCCGTAGAGAATCTCGGAGCCAACAATGCCGAGGATGAACTCTACGAGAAAGTCCTCAGAAACACTGAAAATCGCCAACTGCCATCTTCAGAAGATGCTGCGGAACTCTCGATAGAAAAGATTGTTTACCAGGACAAGGAGATCATCTCTCAAGTGAACGCGATTGATTTGGAAACGCAGTGCAATTTGGCGTCGAATCTTGATTTTGATTCGGATTTGGACATGGATAATCTGAACTCTTACCGGAGGAGCAAGTTGAAGAAGTTCGTTAGAGCGAGTGTGGAGAAAGGAAAAAGGGAACTACGACAATTGGGCTGTTCCAAATTGCTTTTTGAAGAAAAAAAAAGGTATGCATATATGTTCCATTTTTTGTTCTGTTTGAATCAGTGCTGTCCCCTGTTTTGTTAGGCTGAACGTATGCTTGGTTCTCTTTGAGTCAGTGGATCACTAATCTCTTATTCTCTTTATTGGATGCTGTTTATATTTTATGTTCTCATTTCCATGTTTAATTATCATGCAGATGAATGAGAGGAGGATTATGATTAATTGTTTTTCACGTGAAGGTCAACTTGCAAAATTGGAGTTAATTGGACCAAAGGCATTTCAGCTGCTTAAGAAAACATTTCATCCTGCTAATAGGTAAGTTATTTAGAGGAAGAAATCAACCATTTTTAGCTGGGATAATAATATTAGTCAAACTTATTTCTGATGCAGCTATTCAGGGGATTCTTGGCAATTGCAAAAATGTTCAGTTGCAAAGGGTGATAATGATTATGAAGTTAAGAGCTTCTCTTTACCTGAAAATGAGAAAGATGTCCAATCTTGTGCAGTTTTGTCTTTTACTGTCAAGGATCCTCGTTCCTTTTTGGATAAAATAACTAGTGGTGTTCCTGGGCCAGCTTCAACCAGTGAAATACGGGTAGTTGAATCCAAAAGACATGCACCAACAGCGGATGGAGAGGCACCAATAGCGGATGGACATGTTCTGCCTTGCAGGAGAATTTGTAGGGGAGTTTAGCACATACTGTCTCTTGCTTGTTGAGAGAAAGCCTCTTGGCTTTTGTGATTGCAATGTTAGTTGTATTTGTAATGAAGGATTAGGTTCACTAAATACAGTGTCATTTGTTCCTAGACAGGTTATGGGTAGGAGAGGATTTTGTAGGATGTGTATGATTCTGTAGTATTGAAACTTTGCCAAAACCTGGCACTCCATGTATTTTAGCAATTGGTCATGATATAAAAATGCAGTATTTTGAGAAATCTGTCTATGTTTCCATTCATAATCTATCTATGTTAAACAGGAATTTAGCACTTAAAACAAGAGAGAAATAAACAGAGCAAAATGTACAGTAAATCAATTTGCATTCTACTGATTTTTGGCAATCAATTACATAACATGTTTCCATTCATTTATATCAAACAAGAATTTACCACTTAAAACAGAAGACAAATAAATAAATCAAAATATACAGTAAATCAGTTTGTATTCTACTGATTTTTGACAGTCAATTACATAGCAAAATTAATAAGCTATTGTACCTGTATTCAATAAGCAAAATAAATAGAGGCAAAGAAATCAAGCAAGTTCGGAAGGAATTGAAATGAGCAAAGGAATTAAAATTAGCAGAAGGAAATCAAAACAGAAGGAAAGTTCAATGGAAGGTGAGATTGTGAGATTCAAACCCTAGATCCCCAATTTTATTGTTCTGGTAAGGGTTCTTTAGTAAAAGCATTGGAGTGTCATCTCGGTAAACCCAGGTGGAGCAAAAATGGTCCACATCAGCGCCCACTCAGCTCGGAGCGCCAACTCATCAGGCTTTGACGGGCAATGGACGGGTCTAACAGTGGAATGACGTCATTCTCACTAAAAGGGTTGTTTTGCGGACAACATGAAGTAGAGGGGCTGATTTGCCAGTGTTTCTAGTACAGGGGCTGATCTCCCACAACATT